GTTTTTCAAGGCAGGAAACTACGGAGCCCCTAAAGCACATGTGTCAAACTCAAGGCCCGGGGCCAAATCAGGCCCTTGGTGGATTTTAATTTCGGCCCGCAGGATAATTTCTAATTACCATTGGATCTGGCCCAACGGTATATTGCACGCACACCTTCACTCAATCCTGAGCAATTCCTCAGCNGTGTGTGTGTGTGTGTGTGTGTGTGTGTGTGTGTGTGTGTGTGTGTGTGTGTGTGTGTGTGTGTGTGTGTGTGTGTGTGTACACACACACACACACACACACACACACACACACACACACACACACACACACACACACACACACACACACACACACACACACACACACACACACACACACACACACACACACACACACACACACCCCTACCTACCTTGTCTGTGCTACTTATACCCGACAGCCAGCTACACAAAATACGCTACTTTTGCATGTCAACACAAGTGGCATGTTCTTCAAAACAGCTAATCTTGTTGCTACTTTCTACTTTCTAATGAATATATGGTATAAAGCAGAGCAGACTGATCAATGGAGTCCAGTTCCAGGCACAGTCCTTTGTTGTGTTAAGTTCAAATATTCACTTCCAATTCTTTTTCACTCTTCTTATCTTGCTCTTCTTCCACAGGTCTTGGGGTCCATGCCCTGTCTCTCCCCGAATGGTGAGGAGAAATCTGCAAACCGCTCGCTGAGTGTCCACCAGACACCAGAGAAACAAGAAGACAACTGCCACGTCCAGTAGATTATGATAGACACAGTTTTGCACTTGGGATATATTTGGAGAAATATACACATGCATGCGTCATTAATATAAACAATCCACCTTTTTAAAATCACATGTTAACATAAAGACTCGTTTATTTTCTTTATATTTGGGGTTGGCAGGCGGTGTCACTTTTTTCTGGGTCTTTAAAGTCGCAACTACACCTGTCAATGTCTCATGTATCTGTTGGATGGTTTAAACACATTACAAACAAATCAATAACCAATATAAGATGATGAAGCAGGTTAAACGAGTGTTGAGTTTCTTCAAAGCACTATTTTTCTAAAGTGATTTTTAAGGAAACTTCTTGAAATGTCAGACAAGTGTTCTAGTATGAATGCGAACATCCCCTTGTTCTGCTCCTCTTTCTTCATGGCTTCAGCTTGCAACTGTTTCCTTGTCTTTACCACTCCGGTTGTACTTTATTTCCTTTTGTACTGTATTTGTGTCCTTTGTTTGCGAGAGAGTCTTGAACCTTGTACATACTCGACAATATACAGTAAATCAGCTATTCATCGTCTATCTGTTAGTCCTGTAACATATCATATATTTGCTCATGGCAGCTAAGATTTTGTAGATTTTATGCTTTCATATTTTTGGAGTTAAAAACTCAAGAACACGTGTTTTTTTAAAACATTATTTTCTTACTAATCTTTGCAGGATATGTTAAAAGCTGATGTGATTTTATAACTGTCGTTTTTGTATGTTTGTAGTTAATTGTTACTGATCATTGCAAATAGTTCATTTCCCTTTTTATACTAAACTTTTACTGCTTCATAATGTGCCTGGTCTTTTTTTTTGCAATCACATGAGTGCAGTGGCGTTTTTATATGTACAAAAGTGGCGGGGCACAAAAAACTTAGATGTCTATAAGCTTCCGCAGTGACGTGCAGTGAGGTTCATGGCTGGTGAGGCACTGACTCTTCAGGTTTACAAATATAATATTTTGACCTAAATCAAAATATAATATTATTTTCAAAAGCTTTTTTTTGTCTGATGCTTCGATTAATTGTAAACAGACAGTTCAACAAAAGGATACCTAAACAATGTAATTTTATCATTTACATATTGAATTGTTCTCTCTTAGTAAGATCCCATTTTCAATAAAATTGGGGTCTTACTTTGACTTGAAGTTAAGTCCATTTGCCTATCCTTCTGGACAAAAATCTCTTACTTTTTTGTAAAAGTCCTCCTTATCTTCTTGTAGTTTCAAAAGTTTAATCATAAATCTAATCGATATATTTATGATTCGGAAATTATAAAAGTAGGGTAGATATTATCCGGCTGAACAAAACGTGCATTTATCTAACAGGTACGTTTCCCACAGATCTTATTTCGAGCTATTTTCTAAAATCCTATGGAGAAATCTCATTGCTTTTTTGTCGAGGGAACCCATGCGCAGCTTACTTCCGGGTTTTAGGACGCGTCACTGCCACTGCACCCATAGATATATATAAACATATATATTTATATATATAAGTACAAGTATAAGTAGGTTTATATATAAACCGTGTTTATATATATCTATGACTGCACCTCTCGCATGCTCTCTCGTCTCCTCTTCACACACCACACTTTTCGCGGCACACGTACTTACAGAC